TTATATTTAGTCATATCTACAAAATGCTTCTTTCCATGTAAGTAATATATTCACAGGTTCTGGAGATTAGGACACGAACATATTTGAGCAGCCATTATTCTGCCTACCAGAGACCATCTTATTGTGATTAACAGGTTCACCCAGAGATTTCTTCCCATGGGAGGTAGGGGGATCAGGCTGTGTAGACAAATTTCCTGTGGGGCCTTCTGCCTAATCCATTATTATGCAGCGTACTTTGGAGCATCTCTAGTAGCAATGATTATGTCTTAATTCTTGGTACCATTTCTATTTTGTCCAGGATTATTTGGCTTCCCTATAATTTCTTTTATCTACTGTTTTTTACACCAAAAGAAATATGTGTTTATATTACACACACACATACATGTGTACACATGTGCTGCCTATCCTTACTTTTACAATTCTGTATTTCTGAATTTGCCTATTTGCTAAAATGTGTTTGTAACCCCAAAATCAATGTGGCACTTTTGTGAGTAATCATGAAAATGAACAGAGCAGTGAAAATTTTGAGTTGCCCAACATGGCATGTTCCCAGCTGAGGTCAAACAAAGTGATGCTCTTCATTTTTGTTTTAGCTCTCATACTGGAAACAAGTGTCCTTTCTGTGGTCTATTTAGTGCCATCTTTTTCACAGTTGTGTGCTTTTTTTCTTAATGATTTGTTGTTTAAAATGGGTCTCAAGCATAAGTGCTTAAGTGGCATCTCATGTTCCTAAGCACAAGAAGGCTGTGATGTGCCTTACAGAGGTACAAGTGTTAGATAAGCTTTTCTCAGGCATGAGTTAGAGTGCTGTCGGCCAAGAATTCTATGTTATTGAACCAACAATACGTAATAAATAGTCTTTAAACAGAAATGCACATAGAACAAAGTTATATATTGACCTATTGACAAAAATGTTGTGACCAAAAGGTCACAGGAACCAAACTTTGTATTTCTCCTAGGAGCAAGGGTTCAGTATTTGCTAATTCAGTATTTGTGGTGACTTTACAGAACATTACCAAGAAAAATATTAAGCAACTGTATGTAACATGAAATTTTATATACATATAAAAATACATAAACAAAACAGAACAACATACATAACTTCAACAAAAGAAATAATGGGTGGCATTAGTGGTAGATACTAGATAGTAATCTGATTCTAGGGCCCTCCACCCTTAACCAACAGCTCTACCTCTTAAAATTGATTTATTGATTTAACCAACCAAGTAATCAATCAAACAATCAGTATCAGGCATTGTGGTAGGAGCTGTGAACATAATGGTCCTGGCCCTTGTGGGGATACTAGTGAGGATATAGGCAAGTAAATGCCCATTTTAAATAATAGAGTTATAGGTGAAATATGGGGTGACTTGAAACCTCTTAGCAGGGACACCTAATCAAAGATAAGAGTGTCAGGGTATGTATCTTGGAGGAAGTAATATCTAAGCTGAACCCTTTAGTTTCTGTGGGAGCTTTCTAGCTAAATGGGTGGAAATCACATATGTAAAGGTCTAGGGGCAACTCAAAAAAGTCTATTTGAAAGAAATTAATAGAAGAACCCCTGCCTCTGTGTGTGTGTGTGTGTGTGTGTGTGTGTGTGTATGTGTGTATGTGTATGAGCAGCCTGGGTAGTCAGGGGACAGATTGTAAAGGGCTTTGTATATCATGTTAGCAATTTTAGACTTTATACTAAGAGCAATGGGTAGGTACTGGTCTTAGGGAAGAATTATGTATGTAAAGTATTGTACTTTGTTTTCTGATGGCTCTTGCAGTATTTTTGTAAAAATGAAGAATGTCTAACATTAATTATTACATTGTATTACATTGGATGTAAACGTTATCATGGATTATTAACCTGAAAATAACTTCCTGGAATAACCGATAATTTTTACTATTTTGTAAAACACACACTGAAATTTAAGGCATATGTAGTATGCAGGATTCATTTTCCCGAAGGTCCACCTGTGTTTACCCCCGCCAGCTGGTTTATGCATGTGCCGAAAGTCAGTTATATTTGTTCACAGATTTGGTTTTCTTGGCTAGTTCTGTATAATATAAGGAATGGATGAAATATGAGTTTGAAAGAAGTATATTTTTCCTATGAAAGGAGGTATATTTTTCCTATGAAAATTAAGTTTAATACTAAGCATGTGAGAAAATTATAAAAGTTTGGGAAAAAATTGAACATGGAAAGACCTGGCACTCAAATTACTTGGCAAGAGTCTTTGAGAACTTTCGCTTAAACTAAAACTGCAAATCATAGGGGTGTATTATAATTTTGATTTATGACTTCAAGCCCTAGGATGTAGGTAAATACTGAAAGAAAAATTCTTGGCCCTACACCAAAAGATTGGTGAATGAATATATATTTCAAAAATGTGTAGAAAATAAGTGGCTTAAGATATACTTAAGATATATTGATTACTATGTTTCTTGACCAACTCTTTTGATTCACTAACTACCAGCCCCAATTGCAGCAGATAATATGGCTTTTGTATATTACAGAAATTAAGCATAAACTATAGGAGTAATGGAGCATTTAAAAGCCTTTTAAAAGCTCCTGTTTGACAAAACTTTTTATTTCTTTAAACAGTCCACAGTATTGAAAGATTTGAGATTCACCCTCTACTGGGAGCCATGATTCAGTGGCTTTGCCTTCAGAAGATTTGCTTCTAACATATTAAAAACGACTTGGCTACCTCAAAGCAGGATGACAGAGATCCTGGCAGCATTCCTTTCCTTCTGATCAACCAGTCAGGTTTTTGGAGCCATTTCCAGGTTCTCCCTTCTTCTCTCCAGGAGCAGAGGTAGCCTGGAAGAGAATGCAACAGAAACAGCTTGATGAGACTAATGGAAACTCCCTGTGTTCAGCTTGGGAGCCCCCTCCCCACAACGGCTCCTGCTCACACAGGCGAGACAAAGCCCTCACTTTGACATCTGTTTTCCCACAAATTATGCTGTCCACATAGCTTACTTTTGTTTAAAAATCACTATAAAAGCAATAGAAACTCATGGTAGAGGTTTCACACAGTGCAGAAAAGTCAAGTCACATACTGTTAGGGTGGCCTTGGGCAAGACACAGAGCCTCTGTGATCTTCAGTGTTCCATTTGCTGAATCGGCTGAGAGCTAGTTTGTAGAGCTGCTCTGGGGATATAACGAGATAATGTATGCAAAATGCCTGTTATTATTATTTATGGTTATATAGGCACTATTTTCATACCTTTGATCAAAGAATAATTTTCTACTACTGAGTAGTTTGTCGTTTTCCAGCAAGTTGAAAATATTGGGAGGTGAGAATGGTGAGGGCAGAAAGGCACATGGTCTGATCAACCAAATCAATGGAATGAACTTTGATGGTAAACAGGGTGATGTCACAGTCAGGTGACATTTATATTATACGATGAGATGTCCCGTAGGTACTCCAAATACAAAGAGACTACAACTGAATATGCCGAGGCCCATCACTCCAGACCAGTTAATCTTGATAATGTCATAAGCAGCCACCCAAGATTGTGGATCTGGTAACTTGGGTGTAATACTTGACACATCTCCCACCATCGCACCTCCAATCAACTGTTAAATGTATCTGTTGATTCTAGTCCTAAATACTGAATCTCCCACTCCTTTCCTGTCTTTTTCAGAAGGCCTTCAGAATCTCCTCATGGATTTTTACAAACACCTCTAAACTGGCTGCTTCTCTTCCAATCTTTCCTGCTCTAATCCATCTTCCAAATTGATAGCAAAGTGGTCCTTCTAAAATGCACCACTGGTAGCCAGTCTCTTTCCTGATTAATTTCTTTCATTGTCATTTGCAGTGTAAATTTCAATTTCCTTATATGGCATCCAAGGTTATTATAGGAGTTAACAAATGCAAAGTACTTAAACAATGTCCAGCATACAGTAAACACAATAGAAATGTTTTTAGTGACCTGGTCTCCACTCTTTTTCAATCTAGAATACCGTCACTCCTCCATTAGAATCATTGCTCACACATTTCCAAGCACACTTTGTTATTACACACCTCTGGGCTTTACATACCTCTGGGCTTTACACATACACACGCATACACACACACACACACACACACACACACACACACAGAGTTCGACTTTTTTGACGACCCGATTTCTCCTATTGTGTTTGGAATTTATTCTTCTTTACATCCAATCTCCCCCAGTGTTTCATGGCCCCTCCATACACAAGATAGTTAATTTTTCCAATTCTGTGCAACAACTGGACGTTATAATGCTTTTCCAGTTGCAACCACCCCACTGGATTATAATGTTTATACGTTCTTCTCCCCTAACAGGTGGTGAGCTCTTGGAATGCAAGGATTATGTTTTCCTTTTTCCAAGCACCTGACTAAATGCTGGCACGTGGTAAGCACCTAGTAATTAGTAAGGTATTTTTCGAACAGATGAAAAGTCTAGGCTATAATTAGACAAAATGTAATCAAGAATATTTTATGATATAGAAAGAAATTCCCACTTGGGCAGAAAAAGGAAGTTTAGTTAAAATCTAGAAAGCCGCAGTTTCTCTAGCTAAGCAGTGATGGCCGTGATATAGCAAAGACTATTTCGTTAAGAGACCTTGGCTTTTTGATCTGTTGGTGCCACGTTAAGTGTTATGGGTAATTAAGAAGGGTAATTAATATGCCACCTGCTCTCCTACTTAGGGGCAGGTGGCGGGAATTTTATTCCACTTTCTGCATATTTTCCCCGTGCCTTGGCAGGGACCGGAGGGTGCGAAGGTCTACCAGCGCCCAGAAAGCCTCCCCTTTCTTGTTTACCCAACGCAGCGCCCTCAGCAGCCGCGTCCTCTCGGAGCAGCGGGGCCGCGGGTGACAGGTGACCGCAAGGCGCGGGGCGGCGGGCACCCGGCTCGCCCCTCCCCGCGCGTCACGTGTGCGAGGATGCAAACTCCCCCCGCCTCTCCTCCTCCGCCCCCTCCGCCTCCCGGCCCTCCCCGTCCTCCCGGTGAGGGAGTGCTTGGCAGACGGCGCGAGGGGGAGCGAGCGAGCGGGCGCAGCCGGGAGCCCGCAGCCCTGGCGCCCGCCGCCGCCCGGAGCCCCGCAATATGCCGCCGCGGCCCGCTGGCTCTCGGCCATGGCGAGGCTCTGCCGGCGCGTCCCCTGCACCCTGCTCCTCGGCCTGGCCGCCGTGCTCCTGAAGGCGCGGCTGGTCCCCGCGGCCGCCAGAGCCGAGCTGAGCCGCTCCGACCTCAGCCTCATCCAACAGCAGCAGCAGCAGCAGCAGCAAAAGCAGCGGGAGGAGGCTGAGGAGGAAAGGCCAGAGGTGCCTGGGGCATCCTCCACCTTGACTGTTCCAGGTAGGTCCCGGCTGCCGGCCCTGCCTCTCTTACTCGGGCGATCGCTTATGGCCTCGCTGGCTTCCTCGCCCCTTCCCTAGCCGCCTCCATCCTCATCCCTGTCCCTCCCGATCTCCCCTGGCTGCCTGTCCAGCCTTCGGTCCCTTGCTCTGGTGTCGGGAATCCGCCTTTTGGTAATGAGCTTTCTGGGAAGCTCGAGCACTGCAGTGGGTTGGAGAGGGGTCGGGAGCATTGGGGGTGGGTGACTGCCTGGATTGATTATCTTTTTTTTTTTTTTCTCCCTCCCTTCTTCCTGAATTCTTCCCTCCTCCCTGGGAATGACTGTACACACACACACACACACACACTCCTCAGATCCCTTTAGCATTTTGTTCTCTATCCTTTTCTCTCCTAGAGACGGAGAAATCTTGCCATAGACACCCACACACCCCTTTTCACCATTTCTCCTCGCCTGCTGTATTTAAATTTAGCCATGGAGAAAGAAATCTTGATTTATTATTTATTTATCTCTCTCCTTATCCCAGGAAGGTTTAAGGGTTCATCTTAAAGAATGCCTTCCTTACAATAAGACCACGCAAAACAAAATGAAATAGTTTGTAATTGAAGGGAAGGGAAAAAGAGAGGGGGGACAGATAAGGTAAAGTCTGCAGTGATATTAGTATAGCAAAAGCCTGTCCCCAGAGAGGGAAATCTCCTTGCTTGTTAGTAAGAACTTAAATGAGGCAGATTCTTGACGAAATACGGCTGTAGTGTATGTGGATGAAACAGTTCCCCAGTTCCTCTCTGGTCTCCCTCCGCCCCCCATTATAGCTCCATCAGAGGGATAATCCAGCTCTTTGCTTACTAAGTAGCCTCTCCCTACCTCCCAACCCAGTTCCCTTCCTGGCTGTAGATGCTGTCTGCTGTTTGGAAAGAAAAAAAGCCATTAATTTTCTGGCAGGTGGGCTTAGGTTTTGGGAAATCAAAGTGAATTATATTATAATTTTTTTTTTAATTCTGCCTAGTAACATTATACAAGATGCTGAAAATGAGATTTAAAGAGTGGAATCATCGTCTTATTTTGTATTGCTTGTTCATCATTGAGGACCAGTACTCAGGCATGCCAGCTGCGATTCATGACACAGCCAGGATGATTTAATTTATCAGAGTGCTCTGAGCATAGGATGAAATCACCAAAGTGTGCAGGAAAGCATGTGTTTCTGACACCCTCTTAAACCAATTAATAACACTTAAGTGTGGCTAAAAGTCCTGAAAGGTTTGCAGTGTGTGGTGGTTTTCCTACCTAGCTTTTAATAACAGAAAGTGATAACAACACGGTTTGGGCGAGGCAGCTGTTACACATGCTGTTCACTAAACTTAAGGAAATTGAAGATAGGAGACTGAGTGTCTTCATTACAAGAGAGATTTCACAAATTACTAAACAGAAGTTTGGGAGAGTGTTGATGGGTTTTATGGTTTGCAATATATTTTTTATTTTGATTTATTTTTCAGGAATTTTAAATGGGTTTTGACTACTGTGATATATATAAATGTTGTGATAAGGGTTATGAATAATTACAATAATAGAAATACCTTTTGTATATGGCATGCAAATTAAAATATTTGATTTTGGATAATTGTGAGGGAATATTTTGAAAAGGATGATTGTTTGGGAAACTAGCAGTTTTGGTCTTATTTTTCTATTAGATTAATTGAGCTAAAGGAACCGCTATCCAATAGATCAAACTAGAGCCCAAAAAGTAACATATGAGGACTCTTCTTCCTCCAAAACTCTAACCCCCCAAGCCAGTGGCAAACAAGAGAGTGATTCAATTGCCTGCTGTTTTAATTATTGGAATATCAAGTCTTATAACAAAACACAGCCTATAAACAAATGAAGTTAAAATATCCCTCTGAATTAATTGTGATCTCTGCATTGAACTGGACTTCCTGCTGCAACCTTTGCTCTGCTGTGATCTATTCTTCTCACACAGCTAGTGATCTTTTAAAAAACATTAAATAGGATAATTTCTGCTCACAGTTCTCGAATGGCTTCCCATCTCTCTCATTAGATGCCCCAGATCTTGAAAATGGCCTACGGAGGTTTGGATCCTTTTATCCCCTCTCCCGTCTCCTGCAGCCTGGCTCTCTGTTTCTTCAGTTTGCAAGGGGGCTCTGGTGCCTGGCCTTTGCACTTGCCATTCTCTCTGTCTGGAATTCTGGAACCTCACATTCTTCAGGTTTGCTCAAATGTCACTGTAACTGAGAGGCTTTTCCTTACCAGATATACTAAATAGTAATTTGCATACCCTTTGGCCCTTACCCTGATTCATTCTCCTCCATCACTTATTATCCTCAGCCCTTCTTATAATCCTATTTCCCCTTGTTAGAAAGTAAGCTCTGTGAAGGCCTGGACTTCATTTTGTTCAATGCTGTATTTCTAGTACTTAGAAGAGCACCTGGTACCCATAAATAGTCAACCGCTTTTTGAATGGGTGGATGAATGAATATGCTGGCATCAAGGATCATTTTCACTTTCTGAGTATTTGAGAATTTCTCCATTGGAGAAATTCTCCATTGGAACTTAGCAGAGGATGTATAAAAATAAAGGAATGTTATGTAGGAAGATTGTAATAAAGGTTGTAATGTATGCAAATTTTGGATCTTAAATTTTAGCTAATTTCAGTATTTTTCTTATGCTGACTATTGAAAACTGATTGATAACAGTATTTAAGCCCACTTATTAGGTTCTGTCTAGAAGATTCTTTCCCTAGGTGTACTTACAATCCTCTTATGACCTAGGAGGGTATTAACATATTATACCTTAAATAGCTGTGATTGAGCCTAGGTTCATTCTTTGCCCCTTTTTGGTGCTTCTGATTCTTTGGATAGTCATATGAAAATCTGGTAGAACTTTTCTCAGGCAAAATTAAGAAAACTAATAAGACGCATTCAGTGACTAAGTACATGACTAAGTCTTATCAGTCCACAGTAGAGAAATTGAACATTGACCTTGGTTGATATTCTCTGGATTTATTATTCTTAAAATTTATGTCTCTTTGTATTGCCGAGAAACAAGAAAATGAGTTTAAAAAAATGTAAAATTAAAAAAAAATTAGGATTAACAGTACATTTCCATTTTTTCAGTAAGTTGCAAAAACATCTTCAGAGAATAGTGAGAATAGAGAAAGGCTAAGGTTGAAATCTGTCAAGTAAGTTTTCTCCAGTGTATGCAGCACCTCTGATTTCAGCACCAATATTTGCTAGAAATAAATATTCGAGGGATCAGAGAATTAATTTGGGGGCTGGTGGTAGCTGAGACAACCATATCATCATATTCACTCTGATGGCCCATTGATGGGAGGTATGCTGGGGGTGGGGGTGAGGGGAGCTGGGAAAAATAATGAGCTCCATTTTAAATTCTCCATGTGAAGCAGAGACACAGGGGGTCTCCATGGATCTTTAGAAATGTCTTTTGCGTAACAGAAAAAGCTTCTTGAGAGGTATATTTTCATGGTATAAAAATTTTTGATTGTACATTTTTGTGATAAATATTTTTAAACTTCTTATTTTGTAAAATGTTAGATATATAGAAAGTAAACAGGAGAGTGTAATAAAAGCCTGTACCTGTCACCCAGCTTTAACAATGGTCCAGATCCTGCCATTGTTGTTTCACCCATACCTCTACTCATTTCCACTACATGGATTTTTTTTTATAGTTCTTTTTTTGAGGTAAAATGTACATACTTGGAAATGTACATATCTTAACTGTACTGTTTTGACAAGTGGGTGGATATATCCACATAAACATTGCCCTATCAAGATATAGAACATTTACGACACCCTAGAATACTCCCTCACACGCCCTTCCTAGGCAGTCCCTGGCCCTCACCTAAAGACACCTGCTGTTCTGGTTGTTTTCATCATAGGTTGATTTCACATTTTCTAGAACTTCACAAAATGGAATCATATAGCATGTGTCCAGCTTATTTAGCTTAGGGTAATTTCCATAGATTTCATTCATTGTAGCACGTTCAGTAGTTTATTCTTTTTTATTGCTGAGAAGTATTCCATTGTATGAATTACCACAGATCAGTTCATTGCTTCTTCTATTGATGGGTATTTGTTTTTTCCCAGTTTTAGGTATTATGAATGAAGCTGCTTTGTTCTTATACAAATCTGTATGTGGACATGTTTTCATATCTCTTGGATAAATGCCTATGAGTGGAATTGCTGGGCCAACTGATACACTTTTTCAGTGTAAAAAATGTTTTTCTACATATTCTATGTACGTGGAACCTACCTCATTTAATAAAATGATTAAAAAATAATGAAATTTGATATAGAGTATTACTATATACTTGTTCTTAAAATAACTTGATTTAAACTTCTTTATTAAAAAATTTTTATTGTGTTTATTAAATGTTTTGCTATACATAGTGAAATAGTTATTATAGTCAAACGAATTAACATATCCATCCTCTTGCATAGTTACCTTTTTTTTGGTGGTAAGAGCACCAAAAAAAATCTACTCTCTTAGCAAATTTCCAGGATGCAATACAATATTATAACTATAGTCCTTATGTTGTACCTTCAATCTCTAGACTTAATCATTCTACATATCCACAGTGTTGTACCTTTGCTCTACATCTCTCCATTTATTTCCTCCCACCCCTGTTTTATTCCCTATTTAAATCTCCCATCCATGAAAGCGTTTATTTATTTACTTTTTTTCTGTTCAAGAAATTTGAAAATCAGTAGGACATATGGGATTAGAAAGTGTTCTATCTAAAAGTACTCATGCTTTAAAGGCCATATTCCCAGATGGGGTAATCATGATTTCTTTCCAGGATTTTAATAACCGAAAGGAATTATTTCTTGGTGTTGATTACAGGTTGAAAAACACATGCCATTGTGTTGATTTTGAATCCAGTTTGTTTTGGTGGTGGTTTTGCAGTGTTCTTAATGTGACTGAACAGAAACCGTACCAGATATTTTTCTGAAACAAAACTCTTCCCCCA